TTTTTGAGTCCTTCTCATCCTGCCCAGACATCAGCTGGCTGCAGGGATTCCCACACAACAGAACTCCCTCAGTGACTCTGCCCAGAGCCACAGTGACCTCCTGTCCTCCAGGGGGACATCACTCTGAGTCCAGACCTCTAAAAGCCTTTTTAGGAGGCTTTATAATTGTATTGACCCCGTAATTGAAATGCACTAACTGGGTTTCTAGGTGAAAGCACCTCGGGGAAAGCTCTGGACAATGTTCCTGCTATTAAGGCAAGTGGGAAAGGAGGAGTAAGATTGCCTTGGGGCTGTCCATGGGATTTACAGGCTCCCATTCCTTCACTGCTGGGCAATATCCTTTTTTTTATTGGAAATGCTGGAGAGGCAGAGGGGTTGAAAGCCATCAGTGTGTTCTCAGTACCTCAGAGACAGCAAACCCCCTCAAAACACCATTTTCCTCCATTTAGCACCTCAGCAAAAATAGTTCCTCATTTCCTCCCATTTCTTACTCTATTCCTGTTATAATTTGAACCTGCTTTACCTTTCTCCTACAAGAAATAAATACACTAATGATTAACCACATTAAAACCCACCACAACACACTCATCAACACATTAGTTAGAAAATCTCAAAATTAAAAAACAATCTAAAATTAACAAACCAAAATCGCTACAATTCCTCATTTCCAGGCCCTTTTTGAGTCCTTCTCATCTGGCCCAGAGATGAGGACTTCACCTTTCTCCTAATCCTATCTCACAACAAGAAATAAATTCACTGATGGTTAACCAATACTAAAACCCACCTGAGCTGCTAAGGAATGGCCTGAGCCATTCTAAGCAGCAATACCATGCCTAAAAAACCAGCAGTGCAGGAGATGAGGCTTGGTTGGGTATTCAGGGACAGCACAGGGCTGATGCCAGTGGGCACAATCTGATTTATTGGGGCAGCTCAAAGTGCTGGGCTCCAGCAAGTTTGGGCCCAAACAGCGGGAGATGGGCAAAGCAAGGATGCAGGGTAGGATGGGGGAGCAAGGATTTGAGGCAGGAGGTTCAAATGACAGTGGGAGATGACAAAATGACACTGGGAGATGGCAGGAAAGGTGAGCTCTGCCTGTTGCTCAGCACCAGCTTGTCTCTAAATTTCTTTCTGAAAGGGATGCACAGTGACCAGGGCAGCAGCACCAGGGGAATCCCACAGCTGGGATTTTGAGCTGCCCCAATAAATCAGATTGTGGCCACTGGCATCAGTGCTGTGCTGTCCCTGCACAACCAGCCAAGCATCACCTCCTGCCCTTTGGTGAGTTATGGGCACGTTGCCCGTGCCAAGTGCTCTGTGGGCACCACACGGGCACTGGCACAGCTCAAACCCACCTGCCATGGCTGGGAGAGGGGGCACAAGGCCCTGGAGAGACCCTGAGGGTTTCTGCCTTCCTGCTCCCACCGTGTCTTGCTCACCTTCCCAGCTCTGCCCAGGTGAAAACACGGCAGGAATTGAGACACTTTCCACTGTCCCAGGTTGCTCCAAGGCACATCCAACCCAGCCTTGGACAATCTCAGGGGCAGCCAGAGCTTCTTTGTGCCAGGGTCTCACCACCCTCACAGGGAGGAATTTCCTCCTTACAACCAATCTAACCCTGCTCTTTGCTAGTTTGATGCCTTTCCCCTTTGCCCTGTCACTCCACACGCTCCTAAGCAGCTTCTTTACTTCAACACAGTTTCCTTTCATTCATTCTTGCTCCCTTCAACTTGATTTCCAGCTGCTTCATTTCTCTTTACTCCATTTCACAGAAATGAACTTGAACTTATTACTTCACTTATTATTTCACGTTCACTTATTATCTGGACGTGAAGAGAGGGAGAGGAAAAAAAAGAAGAAGATAAAGAGCAGAGAAAAGGTGAGGAAGAGGAGATGCAGGGTGAGGGGCCCCAGCTTTGGTACATTTCACAGAAATTCACCAGAACTTATTTCACTCCATCTCGAGCATCCTCCGGAGAGGCTGAAAAAGATGGAGAGGGAAGAAAAAGAAGAAGAGGGAAGAAACGAGCAAGAAGGAGGCAAGAAGAAGGGAAGGGGCCCGAGCTTTACACAGAAATCCACCAGAACTTATTTCACTACATCTCGTCGGGGAGCAGAGCATCCTCCGGAGAGGCCGAAAAAGACAGAAAAGGAAGAAAAAGAGGAAGAAGAAAGAAAAAGAAGAAGGGGAAAGAAACGAGTGAGAAGGAGGCGAGAAGAGGGAAGGGGGCACGAGGTTATTTCACTCCATCTAGGGGAGCCGACCATCCTCCGGAGAGGCCGAAAAAGACGGAAAGGGAAGAAAAAGAAGAAGAGGGAAGAAGAGCGAGAAGGAGGCGAGAAGAGGGGAGGGGGCCCAAGATTTAATCCACACCATAGAACTTATCACCAGAACTTATTTCACTGCATCTCGGCGGGAAGCCAGGAGCATCCTCCGGAGAGGTCGAAAAAGACGGAGAGGGAAGAAAAGAGCGAGAAGAGGAGAGGGGGCCCGAGCTTTAGTCCATTTCACAGAAATTCACCAGAACTTATTTCAGATTGTTCCCCGAGATTCCATCTTGTCGGGGAGCCGAGCATCCTCCGGAGAGGCCGAAAAAGACGGAGAGGGAAGAAAAAGACGCAGAGGGAAGAAAGGAGCGAGCAGAGGGGAGCAGAGGGGAGCAGAGGCTCGGGGGCCCGAGGCTCGGTGCCCGCGGGGGGGCTCGCAGCAGCAGCGGCGGCGCTCGCTGCCCATGCACATTCTCTCCGGGCGGCGGCGCGGCTGCCGCTCCTGCCGGCCCCGCTCGGCCCCGCTCGGCTCCGCTCCGCCCGGCCCCGGCGGCACGAACATGGCGACACGGAGCTGCGGCGGGGCCGGCCGTGCCTCCGCGCTCCCCCGCCGGCTCCTGCCGCTCCTGCCGCTGCTGCTGCTGCTGCCGGTGCCCGTTCCTGCCCGCTCGCCGCCGCTGCTGCTGCTCCGCGCCCCGCCGGCCCCCGCCGAGCCCCCGCGGGGCCGCCGCGCCGCGCCGCGCCCGCCCGAGCCCATCCAGGTGTACGGACAGGTGAGCCCGCACCGCGGCCGGCACGGAGGGGCGCAGGCACTGCTCGAGCCCCGAGCTCCGTCAGCACCCCCCGCTCCGCAGCCTGCCCCGGGGGTCGCGCCCGGGCAGGGGTCGGTGCGGGGAGCGCGGCTCTCCATCCCCGCATCCCCGCGGGCTCGGAGGGAGCAGCCAAGGGCACGCAGCGGGGATTGGGGCCGGGCATCCCCGGCAAGGGAAGGGACGGACAGAGATTCCCTGCGGGCAGCGGCGCCGTGAGCCAGGGATGCTCGCCCTGAGCTGGGCAGGGGGAGGTGACGCCGGGGGAAACCATGGCTCTGTGCGAGGCGCCGTGTCCTTCCTTCCATCCATCCTCGCGATCCTGGCGTGCCCCAGCCGTCCTCCGCTGAGCCTCGGCAAAAAGGGGAGCAGAGCCGCTCACGGCAGGAAAGCACAGAAACTGCTATTGCTGAAAGTATCCCTGCTCGGGCTCCATTCACTGGCAAGTTTTGCTGCCAGGACCATGAAGGCTCCCCCTCATGCCCCTTCTTTTCCATCTCTTTTGGGTGGTGATGACAAATTGCACTTGGGCTTTCGGCTGCGGAAAGCTCCAGCTTTTTAAAGGTTCTGCTTTATTTTTGATGTACCCACACGCTGTCTGCACTTCTCTGCCCTGCTTGATCCTCCTTGCTGACACTGCCTGTGTCCCCATCACGTGCCCAAAATGCCAATGGGGGGGGGGAACCAGCCCACGGAGGGACATGGCACATTTGAGGAGAGGCTTTGAGCCTTTGGTGACATCTGCCTTTGCCTCCTTGGATGGTGTTTTCACCCCTGGTGCTCTATAATTCCCCCTTTTTGCTACTTCTAGGATCAGTCACGAGGCAGGGCCGGCCCTGGAGCTGCTGGAGGGGCACACGCAGGGCTGCTGCTGCTCCTAAAGCCCTTCTGTTCCCTTGTTTAGGGAAAAGCTGTTCCTCCTCCCCTTGAAAATCTGCTTCGCCTCCTCTACCTCCTCAGCGTTTGGCTGTTTTTAGCATAACACAGCTACCCCATTTTAGAAGAAAACATGACACTTGTCTCTCATCCACGGCAAGGCATTGGTGGCACTTTCCCTTCTGTTTCCCCATGCCTTCAATCCAGCCAGGCAGAGAGCAGCTCCAGCAGGGATGTCCCTGTCACCTGCACAGGAGCTGCAGGCCCTGCAGGGTGCAGTGACCCTGTCACCATCCAGAACAGGACTAATAGGAAGCGGTGGGAGTTCAACAGTTTGCCCCTGTTTGGGATTTTCTCATTGCCTCGAGCTTCCAGGAGGGATTGGCCTGGGGAATGGAGCTGCTCTCACTGGCAGCAGAGCTCACAGCACCGGATCCTTGCTCTGCTGTGGGTCAGGACACACAGATTTTACAGCTCAGGTGTGTCACCAGGAACAGCTGCTCTGCACTAAACAACATTTCTGAGCTCTCTACAACGCTTCAGATCAGGGCTCTGCCTTAATAAAAGGGACAAGAGTGAGCCTGTGTGCCCTGGGCTGCGTCACAGGTCTGACCACACAAGTTCCAAATGCCTGGCAAGCCGGAAAGGCCGTGCAGCTCCGTGCTCAGGGGTCTCGTGCCTGGTCACAAGCACCCAGCAATCCCCGTGACCTCCCTCCCCCAGCCCTCTGGCTCTCCAGCAGCAGCAGAAAATCAAAGTGCAGTCAAAGCACTCCTCTCCCAGGGCCATCAGCACGAGGGGCAGTGCTGGGAGCCAGCATCCTTGTGCCGTGTCACTGCAGTCCCTGCTCTGGGACACATCCCACTCCCGTGCCTTTGGCAGGTCACTTGGCCATATGCTGCGCTCTGGCTCGTGCCCCAAAACTCACTGCCCTTCCCTGGCTCTGTGCTGTGGTGCTGAACCAGCAGCTGAGAGCCCAGGTTGAGCCCAGAGGATGGGGAGAGCAGGGTTTGCTGCTGTGGGGGTGATGGCATCAGGGGAGCAGAGGGATGACAGGAGCAGGAGCCACCCCTGGCACTGTGGGGATGGGGACAGGAGCTCCCCTGGCACTCAGGGAATGGGGACAGGAGCCACCCCTGGCACTCAGGGGATGGGGACAGGAGCTCCCCTGGCACTCAGGGGATGGGGACAGGAGCCACCCTGGCACTCAGGGGATGGGGACAGGAGCCAGCATCCTTGTGCCGTGTCACTGCAGTCCCTGCTCTGGGACACATCCCACCCCCGTGCCTTTGGCAGGTCACTTGGCCATATGCTGCGCTCTGGCTCGTGCCCCAAAACTGCCTGCCCTTCCCTGGCTCTCTGAACCAAGCTGGTGGCACAGCTGAGAGCCCAGGCTGAGCTCAGGGAATGGGGAGAGCAGGGTTTGCTGCTGTGGGGGTGATGGCATCAGGGGAGCAGAGGGAGGGATGCATTGCTCTCTGTCTGGAACTGAGCAGGGGAAGAACATCCAAAGCCTTTGTAGCTCCTCAGGAGCCAAGCACAGCTTACTCAGCACTGTCAGGAACAGGCTCAGAGCCCTCTTGCCTTGGACACCAAAGCACAAGATGTAACTTGGATTTTTTTATCTGGACCCTCAGTGCTGAGCACATCCTTGCAGCAAAACTTCCCAGGAACATCCCCAAAGAACAGGACCAGCAGCCTCACCCCCCTTTGTGGCTTTTCCTTGGTTTTTTCTGACTCTGAAACAGCAGCAATCAGGCGACCAAATGCCTGACTCGAGTCCCTCAGCTTTGAGACAGAGCAGGTTTTGTTCCTTTGCCCAGCCCTCACCTCTGTGGGATTGTTGGTGAGGGTTACAATGGACAGACTGTTTGAGGCAGGCACTGACACGAGACAGGACCTTTCTGGGATGCCACTGGCAGCAGAGGAGCATCCCCAGGGCAAGAAAACCTCACCCTTGGGGCCAGCAGGGCTCCCTGAACCCCTTCCACAAGGGCGGCACCTCACCCTGCCCTCCTGCTCCTGGAACGAGCTGCTGGCCACCCTCCTGTCACCTCACAACCTTTGTGCTCCTGCCCCACACATCCCTGCTCAGTCCTAGAAATCACAGAAAAATCACAGAAAAATCACAGAAAAATCACAGAATGACCAGGCTGGAAGAGACCCTAAAAATCACCCAGTCCAACCCAGCCCCAACCCCTCACCTAAACCCAGTGCCACATCCAGGCTTTGTTAAACACACCCAGGGATGGGGACTCCACCACCTCCCCGGGCAGAACATTCCAGAACTTTACCACCCTTTCTGTAAAAAACTTTTTCCTTATATCTAGCCTGTCTAAACAGGGCCTGGCTCCAGGATTTGCCATTTCCACCATCCCACATAAATCCTGGTTGCTGGGTGTGAACCAGCCCTGAACCACAGAGAATACAACAAACGCAGGAGAGCAAAGCAGCCACTCTGGGTGTGTGCTGGGCTGAAGGGTGACCATGGGAGGGGTATGGGGACACTGTTGTGTCGTGGCTGTGGCACACAGAGAGGAAAAATGCTGGGGCAGGAGCCCAGATTGGCTCTGCTGGTGCTGAGGGGAGTTACGAGAGCATTGACACTGCTGAAACATCTCTGACCTTGACCTGCAGGCAACCCTCCCCCTTCTCTGGCAAAGGTTTATCTGGAGCCACCCCCAAAGCACACAGCTCAAAAGAAATCATTGCTTTAAACCACGCTAGGACAAAGGACATCATCTCTGAGTGCTGGTGGCTCCTGTGGCAGCCCCTTCCCCTCTGTGCTGTCACTGCAGGGCTTGAGCCTCTCCCTGTGCTCAGCGTGTGTGTGGCTGTCACCTCTGTGCCTCCCTGTCCCTGTGTGTGGCTGTCACCTCTGTGCCTCCCTGAACCAGTGTTAGTGCCTGCTTTAACATCATTTTTCTGGGGGGAACTGTTTTTTTGCTCCCAGCCTTATTTCCTGATAACCCATCCTGCCTTTGAGGACAACCACCGAGTTTTCACCATTCCCAGCCCATTCTCTACAGCCTGACCTCTCACCAGCCTTGACCCTGACCCTGCCCACCCTTGTGTGCTGATGGAGGCCTCAGATGATGCCCTGCCCGTCGTGCAGAGCTGGCAGAGAGCCCTGCTGCTCCCAGGGGAGGCAGGGATTGCTCTGCAGGGCGAGCTCCACGCAGCCCTGGAGTGCAGACATCAGTCACGCCGCATCCCAACTGAACCATACTTAATTTTGACCTACTTTGCCAGCCTGGCAGAGCCTCCCCAGATCAGACTTTAACCTTGTGGAGGTGCCCTGGGTGGTGACATGTCCCAGCTGCAGCTCTTCCTCCCCATTGCTCAGTCTTTCATTGCACCCTGAGGGGGTTTCCATGCTCCTGGCATTTGCTTTTAGCCAGAGTTTGATCCCTGCAAGCCACACAGCTCCTGCTCCTGGCACCATAATGGCTGGGAGAGGTATTTGTGGTTTTATTCATTGTTTTTCCCCTCCAGCAGATTCCTCACAGATCCTGTGAGCGCTGTGATATCCCAGGGGCATCGCTCAAGCTTTTCCAGAGCTGCAACGCCAAGCTCATGGCACACTTTGGACCTCTTCTGCAGCCTTCTTCCCTTGTTATGGGGGAGTGAATTTCATCAGCACTTGCCAAATCTGCTGGGGAACCCTCCATTCCCATCACATCCCTGCCCCTCTATCAGTTTGGGTTGTTTCTGGGGCTGTTTCTGGATTCCTGCCCTGACCCCAATCTTCCTCCTCCCCTCCCTTTCCCATTCTGGAAGCAGCAGCTCAGGGAGAGCTCTCTTGGTGGTGGCAGAGAGAAAACAGCCCTGCAAGCAGCTGATTCCAGTATTAACCAAATTAACACGGGGCCTGGCGCTCTGCGAAATGAGTCACCCGTGTTTCATATCAATGATTTCAGACCCTGGCATTTGCAGTCCGAGCCACCGGCAGCTCCACGGCAGGCACGGGCGGCGCTTTCAGCTCTCCTGGCAGGGCTGGCAGCAGATGCTGGGGAGAGGAGCAGAAGGTGCAGGAATGGAGATTCAGTGGGAGAGAGCGTGGGGAATGCGGCGTGCTGGGAGAAAGA